GCAAATTTTAAGTCTTTATACGTGCCGGAAGAATATGTCTGCATCGATGAAACCCTATTACCCTTTAGGGGACGCTTGGGGTTTAAACAGTACATTAAGACAAAAAGACACAAATATGGTGTAAAAATTTTTAAAGTATGTTCTGGATCTGGATATACTTACAATTTCAAAGTATATGCAGGGAAAGAAAATAGTTCTAACGTCACTCCAGAAAGCGTTGTTCTGTATCTTATGGAGGATTTAGTACATCAAGGAAGAACTCTGATAACCGACAATTGGTATACAAGTTTACCGCTAGCAAAAAAAATGTTGTCCGTCGATACACACCTGATAGGAACTGTTCGAAAAAATCGAAAATATTTACCCCAAGAAGTAGTAGCTGCAAAATTAAATAAAGGGCAGATTGCTTCTATGGAAAGTGATGATGGAGTGACCATTACGAACTGGAAAGACAAAAGAAATATTTACATGCTTTCTACTAAACACGGCAATGAAATGGTCGAAGTATCTTGTAATCGACAAACTAAACTGAAACCCAAGGTGGTAATAGATTACAATAAAGGCAAAGCGGCAGTAGACTTATCTGACCAAATGGGAGCGTATTCCAACCCCCTAAGGAAAAGCGTAAAATGGTTTAAAAAAGTGGGGTTTGAATTATTATTAACTACATCAGTTATAAATTCTTTTTTAATATATAAGCTTGTAACAAATAACAACATGTCGGTGACAGATTTTAAAAAACAAATAGTGAAACATCTAGTTACTTATAAAGAAACCACTACTGTACCACGAAGTGTGTCAAATAATCACCATCAGCTTGAACAGAAGGCAGACGGAAGTAAACATCAACGAAGGAAGATTTGCAAGAACTGCTACAAAAAAAAATAGTGAGCAACACGGCCGTCAGTATGCTATGAACAAAACTAAAAAGGTAGACACCTTTTGCAAAAGCTGTGACAAGGAACCTTTTCTGTGTATAGGTTGTTTTAATGAATTACATAGAATTTAAATAACTTTTTTTATTGGTTGTTTTACATTATTTGATTTTTCTGTTGTTGAAAAACATGTTTGTATCAATAAATATCATCCCAAAGTTGTAAATAACGTTTTTGACTTATATGGGACCACATTTGTCATACTCCATAAATCGCACAAATTCTCTATACAGCACATAGCTTGTAGGCCTCGTTGGTCCATTCCCATGGTGATTTAATACTAAATAAACAACAATGGCTCGGTACATATCGGAATAAATGTTGGTCCCATAGGGCCAACATGGCCTGTTAATGCAATACTTGCGTTGGTCCCATTGGACCAACGTGGCCTATTGAAGCAACATCAGTGATGGTCTCATCGGACCAACATGGCAGCGAACGTATTAATGAAAAAACTGGAATCATTCGAGCTATGGGTATATAGAAGAATTCTGAAAATATCGTGGACACAACACGTCACAAACAAAGAGGTTCTGAGAAATATGAATAAAGAAATGGAAATTTTAAATATAATTAAAACAAGGAAATTGGAATATCTCGGACATATTACACGTGGAGAAATACACCTTACTCCAACTGATTATGCAGGAAAGATCCAAGGAAAGAGAAGCATAGGGAGGCGTAGAATGTCATGGCTGCGCAACCTGAGAGAGTGGTACGGATGTACATCAAATGAACTTTTCAGAGCAGCCGTCTCAAAAGTCCGAATAGCTATGATGATTGTCGACCTCCGCCGCGGAGATGGCACTTGTGGGACTTGTGGATGTGGAACCAAACTAACCAAGAAAATATCATAAAGTAAATCAAGCGAAAAAAAAATGGAGATTGCTGGGCCACACATTCAGTAGATCCCAGATGACATTGCCAGCGTTGGGCAATGTTGAATTGGAATCCGCAAGGCAGACGGAAAGTAGGCAGATCCAAGAAAACTTGGCAAAAAACAATACTAGGCAACAGGAAAGAAATGGGAAAAGCCTGATTCAAAATTTCACTATTTTTGATAATATAATTAATAATTTTGATGTTGAAGCTTAGTATGTGTAAAATATTTAGCGATAAACTTACGCTGTGCTCTTGAAGACTAGCAATTAGTACATTTTGTAGGGCATTTATTAAGTTCACAATTAAAGATTATATGATTAAAGTCTGCGGTAGAGTTGTTATTATATGAACAAAGAGAGTTGATACGCATTCCGATTTTAGCTAAATGTGCAGAAAAGTTGCCATGGTATAATATCAAATGGCTTAGGTTTGTAAAATCTTGAGACAAATAGTTTCCCATTTTCTTCTCAATTTTTAGTGCAATTTTGTAGTGTACTCGCTGGAGATTATTAAATATTCTATTTCATTTTAATTGACCGGATTTTTTGCTATTTTATTCACTACCTCAGTCGTATGTCTTTTTACACAAATAACGACTAATCCATTGCTATTATATTTAAATCGAAAGATTAACTACTTGACCCATTCGCTGCCATGTTCCAAATCTGGAACAATTGTTAGTTTCGCTGCTAGTTACAAGCTGTCACTAATGGTCTTAAATCTGATAAACTATTTGTGTTCAGTAGTGTCAAAACAACACGTGCGTACCTACTGAATTTATTTACTGGTTTCGTATAAGTGGCTTTTGTTTTGTGATTCATATGAAAATTTCAAGGAAGATGCAGTTGTATAACTTCTAGTTTGATTATAGCTATTTTCTGTTGTGAAATATTGCGATCGGGGTAAGTTTAAGTAATATTATATGCCTATACAATATATCTGTATCGTTTAAATGCTTAACCTTAAATTGAATATACCGAGTAACCTCTAGTTTTTGTATTTTCCAAAAATGTAACTTGGCTGTATCTGTTGCTAATTGAGGTTTTTCTTTTTAGTTTGGAATTATGGATGTGAAAACATTTTATGGAAAAAAACGAGTTGTTCAGCTGATACTCTGAACAATCTAATCGATGATCTAAATGAGAAGCAGTTTGATTCTGCAAACATATACATTTATCCTCCAGCGGAAGATTCTGATGGAGATTCTGAATCATCAGATGATGTGAATTTCAATGATTTTTCTGATAAGTTTTCATCAAAGATACTGAACGCCCCAGCTGAGGCAACTCTTATTTCACAATGTGAGACACAAGATGCTGAAGATATGTTCTCGACGAGCAATGATGAACTTCTAATAAATGTGGATCAATCTAATAAAAGAGCGAATAAATTCAATAGATAAAACGACTGAAAAAGAGGTGACTTGTCGCTAGATAATCATCAAGAAAATATCTCACTTTTAAATCGAAATAATAACACATCATTTGAGTTACGATTGAAGAACTCAAAGTATTCTTTGCATGGTATTCTTTGTCTACTGATTTCTGGTTATTTTCAAAGGCCTTAAAAAGATATGTACTGGAGTTTGGATTTGGATCTCAGAAACGAAGCAATCGCCAACGCAATGTCGAAAACAGGTTTAGAGAAATTTTGCAAAATTTACATTTTGAGATAACACTAAGCTACAAAAAAATGATAAGTTTTGCTAAAATAAGACCACTCATAGAACATTTAAACAGTTCATTTATAAAATATGTGCCGGTTGGTGAAACCATATCAGTATCTGTTGATGATTCCATGGTGCCGTACTACAGCCACCATAGCTGTAAACAGCGTATTAAGGGAACCTATTAGATGGTTTATTTTGTCTAGAATGTTCAAATGTTATCTTGGGTACCGAACCTTACCAAGGAAAGGAAACCTTACTACGAGAGAGTAACTTGGGGCTAGGTGGATTACTTTTGCCGATAGGGTGAAACATAATTTCCAGATCAAAAATTTTACTTTTTTATTGACAACTTTTTTACTGGCCTTCCACTGATAAAGGCCATGAGTGAATTGGGATATGGTTGCACAGGCACCATTAGACATAATCGAATTGGGAAATACGCGTTGAATAAAAAACGCAATAAAATAATCAGTTATAGAATCCTTTGATTCATACAAAAGTTCTGATGAAGATATAATAATTATCCAGTGGAAGGATAATGCCATCGTTCACGTGGCTTCAAATTGTATATGGCGTTCAACCTACAAAATCGGTACGTCGCTATTCTGCAGCAGAAAAAAATTTATAATGGTAGACGTTCCGTACGCAATTCAGCAGTATAATACTCATATGGGAGGTACTGATTTAATGGATAGAAATATCTCTAACTATTGACCAAAACTGCGTAACAATAAATGGTGGTGGCAAATTTTTGTTCACCTTTTGTCTGCTTCAATCTCTAACGCATGGATTTTATATAGAATTCAACACCACAATAACATTCAATCTAACGATGATGAATTCGTTGAAAGTATGCGTCCATTGGATTTATTAGGGTTTACAAGAAACATTGTGGCAACATATCTACTACTCAACCCTCGACAACCAAAACCTGATAAGACAAAATTAGGAACATTATTTCGAAAAATTCCAGGATCTGTTTCACAAAATATGTCGGTTCTGCATTACCCAATTTCCTTAAAATAAAACAGATGCAAAATTTGTAAAACAAACACAACTTTTGGATGCGGTATTTGTAAAATTAATGTACATCCTATTAATTGTTTCAAATCTTTTCATGAAAAAAATTAATAGATCCTCTCAAAATGTTATCATTTTTTTATCAATAAATGTTTAAGTTTAAATTGACGTTGTTGATTTTTTATTACCTACTTATGGCCATGTTCCAAAATTGGAACAAAAAATTTTTAGACACAGGGCTATTGTGAAAAGATTTAGAATTTTTTAAATATTTTTCTATAAGTTCAGAACATAAAATTGACTTGTAGAAGCTTTATTGTTATGTTTTCTAGTTTTTGGTGTCTCCAAAGTTCTGTTCAACCGGGCAAGTTAGAGATCTTTCAATAGCATAAAGTTCGGCAATAAATAAATGTATATTTTAGTAGTTTAAATCCATATGGTATATTAACGAACAATTCACACAATCTTTAAAAAAATTAGATTCCTGTACTTACTTTCATGTGCCCATAATGTAAAATTTTTTAAGTTATCCATATATCTATCACTTTCTTCTTTACACACAGAATTAGAACTTTTAGACACCGCGACAGGAATTGGCGGAAAAATCTGTAAAATTTCATTTTCCCGGGAACACACAATCGAGCCGATAAAACATAATAATAACGTAAGTAAATTCAAATTGATAATTCCGAACATCGCGAGAGCATTTGTTTTTACACACAAATCCGGAACAATGCAATATAAATATGTAATTATCTGAAATGAAGAAAAATTGCTTATTGAAAAGCTTTTATACAACGCGTGAATGTGCTCCGTCCTTCATATCCTTGACAGAGATTTCAGTTCAAGTTGATTGTCAATCACTTATACAGATTGTTTAAAAAGTGGTCTAATATACAATTAAAAGTAATGAAAAGGTGCACGCAGCGTGCAATATTTGCATTTAAGACATTTTCATCTACCAAAAGAAACTATTAATCAGTAAAAGAGATATTTTAGTATATTATACCGGCCGGATCTTTTAATATAAGTAATATGTTTTAGCACAAGATTATTTTTTAACAATTTTAAAAACAAACCCCGAAACCGAATTTTAAAGATGAAGACTTAATCCGTGAACTAAGCGATATTCAGAAAAAGAAAAGACAGTCAAGATTTGATTGATTGATTGATTTCACGTGTAGTTTGTCCGTGTATCTGCTTATACGTATTTCGCCCTAATAGGGCTCGTCAGAACAGCTATTCACGTCGTTCGAACGTGAAAACAAATCTTTTCTGTCTTAGGAAGCAACTCTAACATGGCTTCGTATAGACGTAAATAGCGACATCTGATAATGAAATCCGTAAACTAATTTTTGAAACCAAATTCAGATTTTTGCTTTAATATGTGCCTTCTAAGAATTGCAAGGCAAAGCAGACGTTGATAAAGATGTTATTAACCATGTTAAATTAAATTAAAGAATGTCTCAACCGAGACACCCGTAGGGCGAAAATCTTTATTTTATCAGACAGCCAAGCCGTCTTAAAGGCTCTAAAGTCATTTACATGTGAGTCAAAGTTGGTTTGGGACTGTAAACAATCTCTCAAGAAGCTGGCGAAACGCAACAATGTAACTGTGATGTGGGTGCCAGGTCACAAGGGAATTGCAGGAAATGAGGAAGCTGACAGCCTCGCAAAATAAGGAGCTAATACCCCATTCCAGGGTCCGGGGAGAAAACCTCTACGCACGGAGAACAGCTGGAAACTGAGTTTATTAGTAAACTGATTAGTTTCCAGCTGTTCTCCGTGCGTAGAGGTTTTCTCCCCGGCTCTGGAACTCAATTTTTGCAATGTATGTTACCTGAAGTCATATTTAATTTAATACTGAACATCACAGTTTTTTAACAACAAGATGTATAATCTTTTATAACTATATGTAATTTAAAGGGTTTTTACCCATGTATTTTTGGTGGCTCAGGCATTTTAACCTAGCATTTTAAACCTGATGATGGACTGTTTAGTCCGAAAACGTTTGTTTTTTTGATGTAGCCCTTTTAAGGGTTTTTAAATAAATATACCCACTTACGAAGACTAACCTTTTTTTTTGTCTTCTTTATATTTATATTCTCCATATTATTGACTTTAATACTAAATTTTGTTCATAAGAATTTATAGGTTTTCCAGATTTTCCGCGAATTCCTTTTTAGATTCGTGCAAAGCCTCGCTAAATATAAAGGAGAGATTGAAGATTAGAGAAGAAAAAATTACAGTCTTTCCCCGCTTTGCACATGCTTTTCGGTATGTGCATCTTCAATTCTAAGATTTGAGGTCTCATTCCAGTAAAGGTTCCTTGGCAAAGAAACGTGCTTAAAAAGTGAATGAAACTAAAATTAAAACACCAATAATAGTAATAGTACAGTCATTATAAGTTTGACCTTCCTCTTATTTGAGAAAAAATGAAAAAAATCGATTTACCAAGAATTTGTACGCTATAAAAACAATGTTTCAATTAAAAAATGTAGCTTATATAATTTTGAACGAAAAGTTGATTCGCACTTTTTGTGTAGAGTGTCTCAGAAACAACGCCTGAAGCGACCAGTGATTTTCAATGTTGGGTACGCATGCGAAATTAATTTTAAAGCAAATGTGTATCAACTTGATGGAAAAAATTCGTCTTAAAGCCGTTCCACACACGTACCTTCATAAAAAACTGGTACAACTCTTATAACCGAAAATCGTGTTTTTTAAGTTGTGTACGTTGATCTTGTCACCTGTGCCATTCTAATTTCTAGGGCAACGTTGCCAGTTCAACACAAATATATCAAACCAGCTAAAACCAAGGCTGTGCGACAGACCACAAGTTTTTAGTATACTAAAAAACAATACCCAGATCCCCAGATACCCATTCTCGATCAGTCTGTCAAATTTATTTAAACATGCATCAAAAAAAAATCTCTTATTAATTTTAGTATTTTCCATGAACAATACCTATCTAAAAACTTTATACATTTTTGAAAGTTTTTTTTTTTTATTTAGATTTAGAGCAATTCCGTTATCTGTGATGGTAACAACGAATTGATTCACAAACCATTTAGTGCAGTCATTGAAGCATTATTGCTCCGATTTTTTTGACTGTGAACCGAATTGCATACAATTTTGGAATTAGGTTCATCTTACCCTTAACTTCAAAAGTGAAAATGATTTGAACTCCGCAACTACCCTGGGGGTGGTTGCCACCCCTTCTCGGGTGAATTTTTTTTTCAAAATACTTCGGATATCGATAGAAGGCCTAATTTTAAGCAAAAAATCATCTATAAAGTTTTTCGAAAAATCCAATACTTTTCAAGTTATTGGCAATTGAAAATTCGCAATTTTTTTCACGTTTTTCATCGGTTTTTTGCAAATATCTCCAAAAATATACGTTTTATATAAAATTTTATAAAAAACAAAATTGTAGCAGGTAACAAAATGAACAATTTGGTTTTTTATAAAGTATTCTAAGTGCAATATTAAGCTAGATATTAAAAATCAAAGCCGTTTTTTATTTTGTCTGAAATTTAATCGATGTGGCCAATGCCATCTAGCGGCGAGCAGATGCATTTTAGGCATTCTAATAAAAAAGAGTTTTGTAGTGCTTGAAATAAGCTTTAAAATGAGCACTATTAAAAGTCTTTTACACGTAAAATAAGTGAGCTGTATTGCAAATAAGAGGAGCATCTAATGTTTTTCTTTTAAATCAATGGGTTTCATAAGTGCCATTTCCACTAAAATTAAAATTAATCGTATTCCGCCTAGAATTAACTTTATTATAAGAGTTTGATAGATTGTATTAGTTTGGCTGCTTCAGGACACATATTTTTCAAAAAAGTAACGATTAAAAAATATCAAATTTAAAAAAAACCACCTTTCTTTCATAATATCTCAAAAATGACGACAGATACGTATAAAAGTGTAGAATAAAAAATTTAGGTATTTTTCTAACAAACAATTTGTTGTTTTGGTTTTTTCTGTCAAACAAAAATTGACGGAGATATGATTGTTTTAAAGAGCGCGTGCAGCGCAATCCAGCCTCTCTTAAGCCTTTAACATTCACCGTTTTAGAAAAAGTTTTTACTATATATTGCAATAAAGGATGTTGTAGCTCTCTTAATTACCTTTACAATGGTTTTTTATAAATTGTATAGCATGAAATTGAAGGAGTTATGGTCCAAAAACTTATCATATTTTTTTCTACTTAGTAACTGAAAATTTCGTTTGTGTGAATGTGTGGAGCAATCTGAAAGTACGCAGTATAATAGAGACTCAAAACTATTGTAATGTGTATACATAATATGGCTCATATATTTTGGAAACATAGGCATGAATACATATATATACTTTTAATATAATATGAATAATATATTTCGGTAATAGAAAAGAATGTGAATAATATTTAAATCTTTTCATTTTTATCAAGGGGTAGTTTTCAAGGGTTGAAAGGGGGTTAAAAATTTGATAATTATTAGATAATATAAATATTATTTACTCCATACTTACATCTTTTTATGTCATACCAAAGTATTTTTTTGTGATTTTTTCAATTTAGGTGTTGTTTGCAAGGGTTGTAAGATTTTCAAGGAGTTGAAAATGATTTGAATATGAGGTAATTGTGTTAGAAAACACTTTACAATTTCACCACTTACTATTAGACATGTTTTCTAGCGATAAAATGGCTCAATGTCAATTTTTCCATTAAGGGGTTGTTCACACCCCTTAAAAATAATAGTCGGAGGTCAGATCATTTTCACTTTTGAAGTTAAGGGTAAGATGAACCTAATTCCAAAATTTCATGCAAATCGGTTCACAGTAAAAAAATTCGGAGGTGAGACCGTATTTTTCGCTTCAATGACTGCGCTAATTGTTTCCAGTCTGAACACAGTTTTACATTGGGAAAAAAAAGTGTACCAGTTTTATATGACGGAAAGTGTACCTCAAAAATATTGACAATATCATTATAAAGTCCTTCTTTTTAAAATGTGTAATAAAGTTCTGAATTGTTGAATGAGGAAGATAAAATTAAAATATTAAAAGAATTTTTGCATAACAGTAACAAAACAAAATAATTTGATTAATTTGTATTTGGAAAACGAGTTCTGAGGTGGAAATCTTAACTACATGATAACTATAATAAAATAAATCATTCTGTCATCGTAAACCCTAAAAAGTCAAAATAGACAATTAATAATTTACATTTAAAATAACTAACAAATATGATTACCGATTTCGAAATAGAAGAAGCTGAGGAGCAACCTGGTGATGCTAGAACTCTTCCCCAGTATGAAACCGAATTTACCAATGCTAAAATATTCTTGCAAAAAGCAAGTACAGACACGGGGGAAAATTTGTAAGTACATAATTATATTGAAAATATTTCTAGTAGATGTCATTTTAATTAAAAACTAAATTACAAATTTATCCATGATATTGATTTGAATATCTTCTTCTTTCTACAAATCGACAAATTTAAATTTTCTCCCTCAGCTTTTTTTTATTCAGAGTTTATCTAGACTCTGCACCATTATTTTTATCTCTTCCTAGGTATTTAACCAAATGATTTAAGTTTATTCTTCGCAATTTTTTTTATAACTCTGTATTTCATCTTTGATGAAAGATGAGGTATTAGAGGCGATAAAGCGAACAAACAATAATAAGGCAACAGGTCCTGACGATATACCTGTAGACATAATACGGTTAATAGAAGAACAGCAAATTCAAATAAATACAATATACAGTACAGGAATCATTCCCAGAGATTGGCTGATATCAACATTCATAACACTACCAAAAAAACCAAATGCAAAAGAATGTCAAGACCACCGGATAATAAGTTTAATGAGCCATGCGCTCAAAATATTTTTAAAAATTATACACCGGAGAATACACAACAAACTTTAGCAGGCAATAAGTGACACACAATTTGGATTTAGAAATGCACTGGGAAAGAGGGAAGCCCTGTTTGCTGTGAATGTACTTGTGCAAAGGTGCATGGATATTAATCAGCCAGTATATATGTGTTTCTTGGATTACAACAAAGCCTTCGATAAGGTCAGACATAACCGTCTTATCGAATTACTTGAAAAGAAAAACTTAGATATGAGAGACATCAGGATCATTAGCGCTATCTATTATAATCAGATCGCTGTGGTAAAAGAGAACAAAGTCTTTTCAAATGAAATACAGATTGAGAGGGGCGTGAGCAGGCTGTGTCCTGTCTCCTACTTTGTTTAATTTGTATTCAGAGGAAATAATCCAGGAAGCACTAGAAGAACTAACTATGGGAATAAAAGTAAATGGCCGACCAATCAATAATATACGGTTTGCCGACGACACTATTTTATTAGCGGAATGTCTTGAGGATTTACAACAAATGGTTGACAGAGTGGTAGAAGTCAGTGAAGAAAACGGACTGTCCCTAAACACAAAAAAGACACAATTTATGGTAATTACAAAAGCCCAACAGCGCCAAGAAAGCATAACAATACATGGAGAACAAATTAAAAAAGTTGAAAAATATAAATATCTGGGTACAATAATTAATGAAAATAATGAGTACACAGAAGATATTAAGGCAAGAATAGGACAGGCAAGAAATTCTTTCAACAAACTGAAAAAAAGTACTCTGCAGCAGGGACATTTCAATTTCTTTAAAGATAAGACTTCTGAGATGCTACGTGTTCTCCGTATTATTTTATGGGTTGGAGGCTTAGACTTTAAAGAAATATGTTTCGGACAAATTGGAAGCTTTCGAGTTATGGGCATACAGAAGGATATTAAGAATAAGTTGGGTAGATAGAGTCACGAATGTCGAGGTGTTGAGAAGAATGGGTAAAGATAAAGAGGTCTTAAATACAGTTAAAGTCAGAAAACTGCAATATCTGGGACATTTTATGAGGGGCGAGCGTTATAACTTGTTGCAATTAATAATGCAAAGAAGAATACAGGGTAGAAGGAGTCGCGAAAGAAGACGCATCTCCTGGTTAAATAATTTGAGAGCTTGGTTTAACTGCACTTCTGCTGACCTCTTTAGAACAGCGTATCGAAAGTGCGAATTGCCATGATGGTTGCCAACCTTCTTAGAGGAGATGGCACGTGAAGAAGAAGATTTCATCTTTGTTATTTGGGTTGTCCTATGAAGTGGTTTTGTTAGCATACCTGCTTTAAACTCTTCGGCAATGCATTTATTCTTTAGTTTACAATTCGTCGTTATGTGTTGTGTCGTAAGAGAAAAATAATTTTTCTTTCAATTTGGTTAATCATCATCAATATATTGTTTAAAGTTAGGAATAAAAATAAATACAGTAAAATAAAAAATAAAATTACAAAAGTTTTCAAAATATACAAAGATAATTGGTAAAGCAACAATTCCGTGGGTCTCGTGTAAAAGAGCATGTCTATGCAAAAGGAAATTATTCAAGAGATTTAATTGAAAGTTCAACATTTTTCTAAAATCAACTGTGTTACTTTAGCCATTGTTTAGGATATTATAATGAAAGAGAATCTAGTAAACTAACTTTTGCTGCATATAAACAATTCATACATTATTCTAATTTGAAGTTATTAGTAGTTTTATTTATCAGGGTACTCAGATAATATATATCATTTTACTCAAATATGCATGTTATTATGTATCACATATAAAATAGTTTGTACTACATTAATGCTGAAAGGCTGATAATAATAAAACGGCTTATTTACTATTAATGATTTCCGTACTAATTGTAATCAAGAATGGAAAAGAAGGTGAATATTGAAATTAAATTATTATGCGCTGCAGAGGTGTCATTCATCACTTTCTACTCCATTCAGTAAGACGTTTTAACGTTTTCATTCATGGAATAAACCTATAGTAGTCGTGAAAGACATCAGGTATTAGCGGCAGCATGTCAATGAGGTCTTTCTTCTTATTCCCTGAGATTGCGAGAGGACCACCGTAGGACAGTTCAGGGTTCAGGTTGCTGCGAAAACGGCGTCTACGACGATAATTTATTGTCTTGAACGACGAATCCGGATCCAGTATCTCCTTGTAAAAGACATTTCTTGTCTCTTTTATCTAACGAAGTTACATGGTCTTCCATGTAACTTTTTCCGCGTCTTTTTTTACTTTTTCATTTCGAAGTGCCGACTTGTACAAATCAGAGAATTGGAAAAAGCCTGACTGCTTCATTTCTGTTAAAAAAAATTGTGGTCAATCACCTCTAGAGTTAGATGGTCGTTAATGACAGACATGAATATGGCAGCTACATGCAAGTTCTTATTCTGTCCTATACATGTGTCCGACCACAAGATTACCCTCTTTATATGTGGGGAAGATTCAAGAGATGCTTCTGTAAACATAAAGCAATTTGGATTCCTCCTCTTGCAGCTACTACTTCATTCTACATGTATCAGTGCGCTTTAATATTCAAGAAATCGTGCACAGTTATATTAAATACCCACAGTTGCCTTTTGTAGAAAACGACTTAAGTTTCTAGTTGGGGAGTAGGCAAGCATTGCTGCAAATCAAATACAAGTTAATACACTTATCAACCAATTTTGTATCATTCCGTTTTGCGTCATATGCTTGATCTGCCATCTCATGGTACTGCTGTAGCTGGATTTCAAGAGCACGTTTTTCTTTATCCAGTATTAAAGATATCTTCAATTTTAGCTCGTTACAGGTGGTGCATGTGTCTTTGCTAGGAGATTTATTTGCCAAGTTCATCCCAACAAATATCCTTGTGTAAACTGATGAGCTAACTGGTTTGAACGTTGCATCTATCTTTGCCTTATATTAGGCATAGCCATTTTATAATAGTGTAATGCGATGGCAAATACTTTGTTTGACTAGGTGACTGTTTATCCTTTAAATCTCGTCATTAATTATTTTGTTTGGAGGTGCATGTTTACCACGCTGGTCATCCTTGGGTACTCCTGATGTACTTTCGGCTACTTTTTTGTATAGCGCTTGTTAAAAACTTCGCCGTTTCACCAAAGAAATACAGGAAGCATTTCTTACAAACAGGCTAAGATTTCCATTAATGCGTAGGCTGTACTTATGAGTTCAATTGCAATTTTTTTGTATTCCTGTTGTTTTTCTTAATGTATGTGTCTTTTTTGCCTCGATAGTTACTTAATTGGCAATATAACTTACCTGTTTCGAGTAATCAGTCATATTCCAGTACTCTGTCAAAACTTGTAAGCGATTTTCATCTGTAATTCTTTCAGCACATTTAAGCTTACAAGAGTCTAGTGGCTTGCACTCTCTTGCTAACACTGTCTTTCCTTTCTCTGTTTGATATTGGAGTCCAGCATTCCGTTTCCTTTTTCTTTCACTGCGGATTTTTCTTGCTCTATCTTTCAAGCTAATTATTTTTTTTTCTTTTGCGGTTCATTTCTAAAAGTGGTAGCAGATTTTCACGCGAAGAGCAGGAATCAGATGATTCAACGTCCACTGGTCTCCTAGCAGGTAGTTGATAGACAGGATCATCATCAGAATCCAATGCATCGAGGAAATCTGAAAATACTGTGGTGTCGGAATCTTCTGGGTTTTTATTGTTCGCAAGATCTGCTGACGTAGTAGGTGCACTGTCCGCAACTCGATTTTCTCCCATTACTTCTGTAGATGGAGCTGCTTGTTGCATATTATCTGAAAAAAATATTTCACATTATATAAAAACTTTTTTTTTAATTTAAGCAGAAAACTGCAGAAAATGTATGAAAATAAACAAGGAAAAGGAGGAAAAACAGAGGAAACCAAAAAAAAATATTTACCACCATTAGAATATTCCGTTATCGACGTGGGAGACAAAGCGTCCATGCGATAAAAGTCTCCCGTGACTTGTGCATGCACAGTGTCCATAGGTTGAGTCTCCTCAAGCTTAGGTAGAAGAAAGGTACAAACAAACAACATATTTTTTCTTATTCTTCTTTTCTTCTTTCAGACTCGAAAGAGAAGCGGCCTGGTATGGCCAGGCAACCAAATCGTCGTTGGGATATAGGTTTTCTGCCAGTGACAATTCTTAAACACTAAACGAACGATAAAATAAAACACGTTTAAGAGATTAATGAAATTAAGTCTAACAAAAAATTTATTGAAATTACCGTTATTAAATTTGAGTAAATGGACGTAAGTCATGATATCTTCGTTTTTTTCATATGTATTTAAACACTTTATACTGATTAAACTTGGGTAAATGAAATTTTGTCTAAATATCTCCTTTTACTCTAATCATAATTAGTAAATTTTGTCCATCTCATTCCAGTAAACGAAAATATCTCTAGGTATCCCTTTTTACCCAAACGTAATTCTTGCATTCTTGGTGCATATATCATTCAGGTAGAGAGCTATCTATCTAAAGAGCTTATCTACTAATAAATACATTTGGAAACTAAAGCATATCTGGCATTAATCCTCTTTACTCCATTGTAAACGTTGATTTTGTTCAATGACTCCCTTTTCACATGTCAAAATCTAATGAAATTATTTAGACTGTAGATATATCCTTTTACCCAAATAATGAGCAGAAAATTTACTTTATTTTCATATTTTTAACTTATTTCGTGAAAAAAATTCGAGATATGCCCTTTTACCTGAGAGCCACGGAATTGTACCGGGTGGTCCAAGAAGCCGATCTCTCGGCTTATATATTCAGAAACTATTCATGTTATAACTTTAGGAGAAAATAAAAGTGGCCAAGAGAAATCGCTGGAAATAACTTTTAAGTTTCTGGGTCAACCGCTAGGGGGCGTAACCTGTGAAGAAAAATTTGAAAACCAGTTTTTTGTGAAATATGCCCAATTATACCAAGTGTTAAATAAGTAAGCTAGAAAGAGGCCTAAATTCCTCACAAAGTTGTTAAAGTACTTTTTTTAATTTTTTCAAATAAAGGGTGGGGGAGAGTGGCAAAGTATTTGTGGATAAATACCTATAACTTTGGTTTGGATCAACCGATTTTAACGAAATTAGTGTTATTAGAAAGAGTGTGGATGATTTAATTTACTATCTACTATAAAACAATTGCATTTAGTTTTAATTGTCATGGGTAGAGGGTACTTTCGAATAGAAAAAGTTAAAATTTGTTTTTCTTCAAATGTTTAATGGAAACACCATTTTTTTGTAAATTATAATGGAGATATCTTGGCAATTAATATTTGAACTTAACAAATATTGGCGACATAACAACTACTAGTCAATTCATGTTTCAAATGCTTTCGCATCGTGCTCAACTACTGTAATTTATTGCTACGCATTCATTCTGTTGTCATTATAATCATCATTTATAACTTCATACAAATATCTCGAACTCGTCTGGAAAAGTGCGCTGGACACCCGTCATATTGTAATATCATATCTCTTCTTGTTTGTAAGGAAATATCTTTCAATAAAACAGGCAACTGATTTTCCAGAAAATCCAAATATGTTTCGCCATTTAAAGTTCTATCAAAGAAATATGGACCTACGATCTTTCCATCAACTATACCACACCAAACATTAAGACTCCATCTACCTTGAACCTGCACCTCATGTATGCAGTGCGGATTTTCTTCAGCCCAATAATGCATATTATGCACATTAACACCACCCGCACTATTAAACGTAGCCTCGTCTGTCCACAAAATCTTTGACATGATATGCGGTTGTTTTTCTAGCAGACCTAACATCCAATTGCAGTAATCCAGCCTTGCATCAAAATCTCTCTCATGTAAAGCTTGGTGGAGAACTACATGATTAGGATGCAGTTAAAAAAACAGAACAACAAATATTGGTGAAAAAGAAACCACTATATTTACTAAAACTCAAAAAATCCACAATTGTTTCACAAGATAAATCGTGCATAAGTATTTTTAAGAAACGATAAAAGATAAAGTGCCGTGTTGCCGTTTTTATCGGAATATGAAAATAACAGTTGAATCTAAAGTTTAAAGAGAATTCCAAGTTTCTGACCTAAACGTTCACTTTATAATATGAAAAACCAACCTGTGATGTTTTAAAATCCTTAGAACAGTAGTTTTGGGTATGTTTAATTCTATAGAGATTAGCCGACTACTTATATGTGAATTTTGTTGAATTAAAGCAAGAACATTGATTGAATTATCTTCGGCCATACCTCTACTATGTCGTTTAAAACAAGGACGATGAAAACTACCAGTTTCTCTTAATTTTCTTGCCTTTCTTTCAAATACTTCTTTGCCATAATGTCTCCTCTCAGGATATCTTACAGAATATATACGTGAGGCAATAGCGGCATTTTTGTGACATTCGAAATAAACTCCAATCATATCATACAATTCTGCATTTGATATACTCATCACGAATTGTTAGTACTGATAATTAATTACTAATATTACCAATATTATTATCTATTGAAAAAATGCAATCTTCAATTCGAATTATAATATAACACTTTTTAACAATGTTTTGACTGATGTCAATAAATAAACAATATGAACTCTCCGTCAAATTCATTGTCGTAGCCTACTTAGTTTCGAAAAAACTATTTTTAATCATATGGAATAACAATTTTCAAAATAGGTATCAACATTAAGATTCTTCTGCTATAAAAAAATTTTAAAGTACCTACTGTCTTATTGTTTAATTTATAATACAGGGTGAGTCAATACTATACTTACTTATGTTTATGCGTTTTTATTCATATCTCGAGTTCGACAAAAGCTATTAACATGCGGTTTGCGCCATTTTGTTACGAATTTAATCCAGTTCCATTATAATTTACAATAAATAGGTGTTTCCATTTAACATTTTGAAGAAAAACAAATTTTAATTTTTTCTATTCGAAAGTACCGTCTACCTATGACAATTGAAACTAAATACAATTATTTTATAGAAGATGTAAATTAATTTATCCACACTCTTTCTAATGACACTAATTTCTTTAAAATCGGTTGATCCAAACCAAAGTTATAGGTATTTATCCACAAATAGTTTCCCACTCTCCCCACCCTTTATTTGAAAAAATAAAAAAAAAGTATTTGAACAACTTTGTGCGGAATTTAGGCCTCTTTCTAGTTTACTTATTTAACACTTGGTATAATTGGGCATATTTCACAAAAAACTGGTTTTCAAAGTTTTCTTCACAGGTTACGCCCCCTAGCGGTTAATCCAGAAACTTGAAAGTTATTTCCAGCGATTTCTCTTGGCCACTTTTACTAAGGAATTTTTTCTCCTAAAGTTATAACATGAATAGTTTCTGATATATAGCCGAGAGATCGGCTTATTGGACCACCCGGTAGATAAATTTAATTCATTATAAAAAACAATTAATTATTATTTTTAACCTTCATAAAGGTTCATAAAGGTTCACGGAAGCTACAGGTCTATACAAATATGCGAATTATATCAATTACATTTTTATTTGAAAGATATTTTTCTACGGTAGATCTGGTAATCGCTTTTCCATCCCCCCCCCTACGGGGTTCAAGGGTTTTGGGTCTAAATTGACATCTCAGCAAATTCAGCTTGTTCGTATGATTTTTAGAGGTTCAGTGGAATATTCGTCTCTGGCGACTGGAGTATTAGTTATCAATTAAGTTATATTTTTTAAGTTCTAAACTCTTATTTTTATCATTAAATAAATATACTGATTTAGGTATGACCATTTATCAGAAACGCTAAACAAAATATTAGCGGAGAGACCCCAAAACGTAATTGACTTCTTTGAAGATTTCAGCAGAAAGATTAAAGAGAGAAGATTTAGACCACATACGGATCATCTCGAAGATATTTATGTACCTCCAAATAGTTTGGCACTGGCTCAAAAAATGATGCCATTGCTTAAGGTGTGTATTATATATTAGCTAACTTGTTTATCGACTTCTACATCAAAACAGTGTAAATTTGAAAGAAGTTTTTGTTTGGTGCATAAAACGTAAAATGTACGTAAACATAAACGTAAACGTAAAAGCACCTGTTCATATTTTTTGATAGAATTAGTTTACGATCGCAATTTTATAAGATAATTTTCATTATGATAAGGTTATAAGGTATGTAGTACTCCATTTGCAAGCTTTTTCATTTCCTTAAACGGATACCTCATCATCATCATTGGTGCTACAGCCCTATAAAAGAGCCTTGACCTTCCCAAGTCTATTACGCCAGTCAGTTCTATCCATTTCCAACTGTTGCCAGTTTGCTGCGCCTATTTTTTCTACCATCCTCATCTACACCATCCCTCCATCTGAGTTTTGGCCTACCCCTACTTCTACTTCCCACAGGTTGTGACATAAGGATTCTTCTAGGAGGGTTGTTCTGCTGTGATCTTGCCAGATGTCCAGCCCATCTTAGTTTTCGTATCTTATGAAATCGTAGGCTTCCACGGCCAGAGTCAGAATTATAGTTTATTCGTCTTCCGGGTTTGGACCGTGTCATTTGTGAGTGACCCAAAAGTGGGTTCATCTCGACGTTTCGCTACAATTGTATGTAGCTTCTTCAGGAGAACAAAGAAAAAGAAATCAAAAGACAGGAAGATGGGTAGTTAGCAACGGTAACTCAGTTACTCAACGCAACCAGAGGCGAATACTAACTACCAAGATGGGCATTTGGTCACAGTAACTCAACTACTTAACGCAGCCAGAGGTGAAAACCAAATGCCAGGACAGGGATTCACGTCCAACAGCTCAGAACACTAACGCGTCGAGAGGCGGGGAGTGAATCCGACGATTACTCCGCTACCGCTCTATTTATAGTCGCGGTGACCTGTCGTGTCGGGACGTATCGGCACACTCCGTGGCGCGAACGTCAAGAAGCGCGCGCTGGCCAATCATGTGGCTGCATCGTGGTAGCGGGACCGGACGGCGGCTCTAGACTGAGATTCCAGATGGGAGACAAGTAGTATCCTTCCTCTCGATTGATATTATGTGGATTTTTTCGGATCTCTAGAGATTCGCGGATTTTCCTGGAATAAAAGAAGGGGCTCTTAGAAATAATATGGGTTTTTTCGAACAATATGGAATGACCGGTTTCTTGGCAGTGTTCTGCAACTGCAGAATGGGAGAAAAGACCTGATCGAATGCATCTTTGATGCTCTTGAATCCGAGTTTTGACGGAACGACCAGTTTCGCCAATATACACATGTCCACATGAACAAGGAATAGAATAGACACCACAGGAAGATAGGGGCGGTAATGGGTCCTTAGGAGAGGGTAGATATTGTGAGATTTTCTTGGGTGGTCGAAAAGTAGTCCTGATACCTTCTTTGCGAAGAATTTTGCCAATCCTATCAGTGACACTTCGAATATACGGAAGAAAAGCCACAGGAGTATTACCCGAAGATTCTGAATTTGTCGTCCTAGGGTGTAAAGGGGGATGTAGATGTCGGTGTGTAATATTTTGAATTGTGGACTTGGAGTAACCGTTGGCGACAAGGGTTTTTTGCAGATGGCCAAGTTCTTCTCTAAGGTTGTCAGGTTCAGAAATCGAAATGGCCCGATGGATGAGAGAGTTGATCACAGAATTCTTTTGGGCAGGATGGTGGTGTGATGAAGCATGTAGGTAACGATTCGTGTGAGTCTTTTTTCTATAAACAGAGTGACCCAATCGGCCATTGGGCTTGGAGGTGACTAACACATCGAGAAAGGGAAGGGACCGATTATTTTCTACTTCCATTGTGAATTTTATACTCGGATGTTGTGAGTTAAGATGATCTAGGAAGGGAGAAAGGGTATGTTGACCATGGGGCCAGATGATAAATGTATCATCAACGTAGCGGAACCAGACTTTTGGTTTTAAGGGGTAAGATTCTAGGGCTAAAGACTCAAAGGCTTCCATGAAAATGTCAGCAATGACAGGGGAAAGGGGAGAACCCATTGGTGTTCCAGATATTTGTTTGTAGAAATTGCCTCTAAAAGAAAAATATGTTGAAAGGAGGCATTTTTCCGCAAGATCTGCCAAAACCAAAGACTTGTTATCATTGGTCAAGTGATCTCGCAGAACAACTAGAGAGTCATGTATGGGGATATTGGTAAATAGGGATGATACATCGAAACTGACGAGAATGTCTTGGGGATCGACCGTGAGGGAGGAGATTAAGGTGATGAAATGTGTGGAATTTCGGACATAAGAAGAGGTACGACCAGTATAGGTCTTAAACTGATTCGACAAGTACTTTGCGAGTTTGTAGGTAGGAGAGTTAATCGTAGTCACAATGGGACGAAGAGGTACGTTGTCTTTATGGATTTTGGGAAGACCGTAAATTCTGGGGCAGATGGAGTTTTTCGGAACTATGGACTTCTTAACATCATCGGAAAGATCGGATTGTTTGATGGCATGGGAAATTTCGCGTTCGACTCTAGGAGTGGGGTCTCGAGAAATTGTATTATAACAGGATGTATCCCTAAGTAAGTCGTTTACTTTCTCTATGTAGGAAGGAGTATCCAGGATGACTGTGGCATTACCTTTGTCTGCAGGAAGGATTATTATCTCAGAAAGAGAACGGAGATTTTTGAGAGCTATGAATTCCTCACGAGATATATTGGAAGTAGGGATTTTGGCTGTATCAAGACATTTAGCGACGTCAAAGCGGATACGGTCGGCTGGAATTTTGGGAATTGTGCGGAGTGCCGCTTCCACATTTGAAACTATGTCTTCGGTAGGAATTCTGGAAGGAGTGATAGCAAAATTAAGACCCTTAGATAGAAGACTGCTTTCTGCGAATAGCAATTAAGTAGTTGAGTTACTGTGACCAAATGCCCATCTTGGTAGTTAGTATTCGCCTCTGGTTGCGTTGAGTAACTGAGTTACCGTTGCTAACTACCCATCTTCCTGTCTTTTGATTTCTTTTTCTTTGTTCTCCTGAAGAAGCTACATAAAATTGTAGCGAAACGTCGAGATGAACCCACTTTTGGGTCACTCACAAATGACACGGTCCAAACCGGAAGACGAATAAACTATAATTGTTCGTATCTTTATAAGAGATATTACGTCTTTACCACCAAATATATATTTATATCTGTGATATATCTCATAGTTGTACCTCCTTCTCCAAACACCATTTTCACAGATGCCACCGAATATTCTTCTCAGGATCCTTCGTTCAAATATAAGCAGGAGGTTTTCATCTGCTTGGAAATGGTCCATGTCTCCGATCCATATGTCAACACTGGTTGTTTAAGGGTTTGTATATGGTTATTTTTGTTTTTTGGCTTAAGTTTCTGCTTTCATATGTTACTCAATCCAAAATAGCATTTGTTTGCTAGGATTATTCTTCGCTTGATTTCTTCGTCATGACGTTCTCCTTGGTGATCAGGGAGCCTAAGTATGTGAATTTGTCCACCACTTCAAAGGTAGAGTTATCAACAGTGAATTGGTGGCCGATGTTTCTGGCTCTATTGTTGGGTGTTGATGCCATTATCTTAGTTTTCTCCTCATTTACTTGCAGGCCCATATTTTTTGAGGCATTTGACAAGGTGGTATACATTTCTTCTAGTTTGCGTGTTGTGCGGGCAACTAGGTCAACATCATCTGCATATGCCAAAATTTGGGATGATTTATTAAAAATGTTTTCTCTGTTGTCTATTTGGCATCCTAACCGCCTTTCCCAGAGCTATGTTGAAAAGGAGACATGCCAGCGCATCTCCCTGTCGCAGACCAACATTCTTATTAATATTAGAGACGGATACTAGAGATGATTAAAACTTTGTACTTTATTATGTTCACTTCAGACCTGCTTATAATACAATAAATAAAAAGGAATTGCTAAGACCAATATAACATCTGGAAATGTCGTTACAGTTAACAAACCTGGTAAAAAGGTCATGCAGAAACGTTGAAATGAGGATCAGCCAATGACGGTAAGCTGGCAGAATTTTCCAAAATAACAAGGATTAAAATAAGGCGATCCCCTGTCTACAACTCTATTTGTTATAAATTATTATAATGAAAAAGAGTGGACTTAACTCAGTGAACAGAAACTCTAAAGACAAAGAGGTATTATATTCTAGACTTCGCTGACAATGTCTTAATTTTAGCCAGATCCACAGACCTAATAAAGAAAGCATTACTTTAAAGTTTAAAACATATGTTTTGAAACTCATTAGTTTAAGTTGAAAAGAAAAGTAAACCTGAACAATAATGAACCAACAAAGCTAGATATAAAACAAGTTCGAACGGGTTTGGAATTACACTTATTTGGGAATACATGTAAACGAAAATGGAAAAAAAGAAGAAAGTAGAGCAGGATTAAGTAGTAGAAGTAATGACAATATTACAAATAAGAAATCAAAAAGCTAAAGCGTTACATAAGATAATTAAATTAAAGGATGGTTTAAGAAAAGCAAAATTACATATCTATAAAACAGTGCTGAATCCGATGGTGTTAGATGCAAGTTAATAAACGTGGATAAAAGAAAAACAATAGAAGCAAGTGAGACTCGGACTTTAAACCCAAGCGAAAGAGAATCAAATTTACGTATTTAAAAAAATGTTAAAATTAATTCTATGAGGAATCAACGAAGGAGACTTCTACATAAGAAGAACATATTAGGTAATGATTTAGCAAAACGATTTTTGAATAATAAAGTTAATTTTTTTACCGATGGTACAGGTTGCGCTTTCGTAATACCTAAACGTATACAGAAAAAAAAAAAATATATATATTATATATATATATATATATACATATATATTTATATATATATATATATATGATATATATATATATATATATATATATATATATAAGCGAGGTTCCTACAGCCTCTGCCGTTTCTCGCATTTCGACCGCCATCGTTTTCTGTCCATCCATTCGTCTTCTCTGATGGCTCTATCTCTCATTATGTGCCGTACATTTTCTTCCCAGGCAACTGAAGGCCTTCCCCTTCTTCTTCTTTGTTGTGGTATGTAATTTAAAGCTTTCTTTGGCCATCTATCTTCATTCATTCGTTTCACGTGACCATACCACACTAGTTGTCTCGTTTCAATTCTATCTACACTGGAATATACAGTATTTGTCCTCCTTCTAATATCTTCATTCCTGATGTGATCTTTTTTGGATATACCACACGCTCTCCTTAGAAAATCCATTTCTACTACTTCTATTCTTTTTCTATCCTTCTGCGTTATCTGCCAAACCTCTGCCCCATAAGTCATAATAGGCTCTACCAAGGTTCGATAGATTGTCAATTTCGTTTCTTGTCTAATATCTTTAGACCAAAGTAGAGAGTTTAGAATGTTTACCACTTTTTTTCCCTGCTGTGTTCTGTTTTCGATGTCTCTTTTGGTAGTGCCTTCTTTAGATATTATAGATCCGAGATATTTATATTCATTGCATGTTTTTGTGTTTCTAATTTCTAACTCTGGATCTTCTTCACCATCTCCTATTTTAAGATACTCTGTCTTTGCCATATTCATATTGAGGCCCCATTTTTCATATTCTTTCTTTAGTTTTCTAAACATGTAGTCCATGTCTTCCTCGTCATTCGCTACGACTACCTGATCATCTGCGAAAAATAAAGCTGTTAGACATTCACCACCGCCTATGTCTATTCCCATTCCGGATACTTGTTTTCTCCACTGCTCTAGCGATGATTGAATATATATTTTAAACAGGGTCGGAGACAGACAACATCCTTGTTTAAGCCCCTTGGTTATTGGAAATGATTCAGATATAAAGTTTCCTTCTTTAACGACACTTCTTGCATTTTTGTATATATTTGCGATAGCATCCACATACTCTCTACTGAGACCTACTTTCGTCAATGTATAAAATAGTTTTTTCAAAGGTACCGTATCATATGCCTTCTCTAAATCTACAAACAATAGGTGGGTAGATAGATTCCTTGCCTTCCGTTTTTCGATTACCTGCTGCAGAACGAATATATTATCAATGCACGATCTTCCTGCCCGAAATCCATTTTGTTCCTCTATCAGAAAAAATATAAGTTGAACAAAAACACAATCTATTTTCACAGCTGAGGCAATAGCAATTCTAAAAGCACTAGAATATGTTCATCAGGAAGAGGATCAGAATGCTATAATCTTTTCCGATTCACTTTCCGTTCTTAAAATTTTAAAATCAAACTCAAACACAACTAATGATATTATTTTTAGCATCCAAGCAATACTTAAACAATTACAAGATCAAAATAAATATATAAAATTCTTCTGGGTCAAAGCACACGCAGGAATAACAAACAATGAAATTGCAGATCAAATTGCCAAAGAAAGCATAGTAATGGGGGAACAAATAAATTACGAATTAACTACAGACGAACAAATAATCATAGCAAAACAGAGAATGATGAAGAAATGGTCCTATTTATGGCAAGAGTACAGCTTTACAAATCCAACACGTTACACCAGACTTGAAACCAAATTAAGGAGAAAACCTTGGTACAATGAGTACGATTACAGTCGAAAAAGTATAACTACTATCAGCAGAATGAAGTTTGGTCACGCATGTTATCCAGCACATTTATTTAAAATAAAAATACTTGAGAGTGATCTTTGCGAAGCCTGTAATAAAATCGGTGATCTGGACCACATTTTTTTTGATTGTTTAAAATATAGAGCTCAATCTAATGAGCTTTTCAGAAAACTTTTAAAATTAAACATTGAAAGCCCATTTAATATACTGCATCTTCTTGCTTTAGACAAAAAAGAAATTTACGATTGTTTGCTGTGTTTCGTCAGAACAACGAATATACAAATATAACCACCTTTGTTACTTCCTGATGTCTTTCCTTAATGTATGCATACCTATCTGTCCGAGGCCTACCTTTTATCGTTTATAAAAATGCCCTGATCGGCCCCTGGGCGAGAAGAGTGTAATCCCTGTGTAATCCTTGTATCTGTTTTTAAAAATTTGTGTCTGGCTGTGTGGGTATTTACCCTAAAGCCAATAAAAAAAAAGTAATTTTTTTAACGTTTTTGGGTTTACAGTAGTCAAGAACACTGGCACAGAAGAACGATATCGATACACACCTGTTCACTGTCTTTGTTAAGATGTTTTTGGGGCTGCACTGCTCGCCTATTTAAAACTCCAATTCCTTTCTTATTAAAAGTTTATGCACGCTATATGAAATTGTGGTGGCTTTACATAATATTCTTTGTTTACATCTGCTATTGAAATAACGTTTTAGAACCTTTTACCTTGTTTATTTACCCAAATAACTTACCTTCTCCGTTCTGATTTCCTTGTAGGCAATATTTGATATTTTGGTAGATTTGGTATTAGGTCACAAATACTTATAATAAATTTTTATAGTTTATACCTTTAGTTATATCGAAGATGACATTTTGATTTGTTCGAATATTAAAATAAGAAAATCTAATTTTTTTTAGCCTTTGCCAGCATCTGAACCTTCGACGATGGATCCAGCTGATTTAGAATTAGCTGATATGTCTCAGAACAATATGCTAGAATCGCTATACTATTTTGAGCAATGCGGCTTGGGTATACCTCGTAAAGAAATGTTTTTTGTCATGTTGTCGATTAAAAAACTTTCTAATACCGAGCCAATTTCTTTGATTAGGTAAACAATAATATATTTTTAAGAAATGTTTTAAAAGATCTTTCTTATATTTACCATAAGTATATTATATGTTAATAAAATATGATAATAGTTTAATAAAATTTAAATAAAAAATCCAAACACAACTTAAAATTTATTTAAAAAATTCTTTATAAAACGTTTAATTAAAAACTCTATTGAGCTACATCACAGAACGTTTTTGAAATTATTATTCCATCATCAGTGCTATTGTGATGTACATGTTAAAAGCCATTCAATACATGGCATAAAAACCCTTTAAATATTATTGAATTAACTTTAAATTACATTATTTAACTTTATAAACTATGATGTTTAAGTTTAACAGGAATGGATAACATGGCAACGTAAGACACTCGTAAACACTCGTAGACACTTTGTCTAAGGACTAGCAATCTCTAGTGGAGTCTTACGTTGCCATGATATCCATTCTGGTTGTAACTTAAACATCATAGTTTATAAAGTTAAATAATGTAATTTAAAGGTGATTTAAAAACATTTAAAGGGTTTTTACCCATGTACCTAGTGGCTTTTAACATATACATATAGATAGCACTGATAATTCCGAAAACGTTCTGTGATGTAGACCGATAGGGTTTTTAATATTATACCATTTATAAAGGAATTTTTAAATAATTTTTTTTTTTGGATGGTATACAGCCAGTTACAGAAATTTAGTTTCCTTGTGAAAACTAAAAATGACGGAAAAAAAAGAAATTAGCAAAATGTGGCAGGCGCCATGAAAAATCAATACAAATCAAGTAAATTCATCATCTACCATTACAGCCAGTTACAGAAATTTAGTTTCCTTGTGAAAACTAAAAATGACGGAAAAAAAAAGAAATTAGCAAAATGTGGCAGGCGCCATGAAAAATCAATACAAATCAAGTAAATTTATCATCTACCATTGTATAGAAAGAGATTCCTGTATAGTTACAGTTTCTCTGCAGCAGTGTCTCTAAAGCTCAATGGACAGCAATTTTTTTGGAGTCCGTTCAGTAGGTATCTTGTGGTAAAATGAGCTTCCCTCCTCCTCAATTTTTTCTCCTTGGACAGGATGTAGTGGCGTCATCTAATTTGTTTAACTATTTTTGTCCAATTATCTCTCTCATATGCGTGTTGTTTTGCTTCGGAAAATGAAAAACGAGTCATCTCCTTTATTTGGTCCGACCATCATACTGAAGATCTTCCTCTGGATCTTTTATCTGCTACGTTACGTTTAACTCCACTCTCGTTTAACTATCATTCGCTCCATACCTTCTCTTTTTTCTACATATTTATTTTCAAATCATACTCCTTACTCACTGTGGCTGGCCTATCATAATTTACTTTAAAAAATTAAGGCAAATATCGAGCACAAGGTTAATAATCAAATCTTGCCCAAGTACGTTCGCTATCTACAGCATCATTAGGGGCATTTCATCAAATTTAGCCGGGCTATCCAGCAAGCGTAGAATGTAATACACATGAGAGTGGACATAAATTGTACATAACACTACATTAACACAAGGACAAACAGTTTAAAATTATTAAAATTATTCTAACGCTCTACATTCTTGTCGGCAACCGGAGAGAGAATGATTCTCTCTCCGGTTGCCAACTTACTAAAGTTTACACAAGGCAACAAGCTTTTCTAAACAAGGACGTTACGACATTCTCAAAATTCACCAAAAATAAGTCACCATTAGCCGATCTGTATACAGTTAAAATATTGGTTTTTATTGAAGGTATATAAATTGCACAAAACTCAGAATTTTGCTCTTCATTATAATTATTTAGAGTAAGAGAACAATACATAAGATTTTCTTTTACATAAATTGCAACTCCGCCTTGTTTCTTAATTTTGATTTTCTTATTCGTAAATTGCGTATTTGATTTTCACCTAATAACATTCGCATATCATATTACGTTTATTAATCACCCTCCTCAATTTCTTGTCAGAGTATAAAAGACACATGTATCAAATCAAGATGAATTTCATAGAATACAGACCTAGTGAAATAATTTAAAAGCTGTAGCAATAGTGATTGTTATTAAACTTTGTAAAATATTTTTATTATTATTTATCATTATAAACGTATATACTTCCCGTAAAAAAACTTCGTTTAAATTTATTATTTCTGGCGGATAATTTTATAAGTTTTTCGAATAAAATTCGGATATCTTAATTCATGTTTTGCTTCAATTGACAATTTCAAGGAAATAGTATGTTGTACCGCTAAGATTGACAATAAAAATTTTATAAGGAAACGTAATTTTTCTATTTGACCACATAGTTGTTATATATATTTTACCATGAGATTATTCATTCAAGCAGATCATATATTAGGTAATACTTATACTTATTACATACTATAAATATAAACAAAAGAATATAAATAAATAAAGTTGGATAAACATTTTGATGTCCTCCTTTTTGTTTTTTTATTTACAAACTCGCATCAGCCTGTAAGGCTATTAGCGAAAAAAGAAAAAGTATTAACAATAATTGAATAGCGTAACAATTAAATTTTGTATAAATAGTTTATTGCTTTTAGATATTGGATAATCACTTTGGCACCGCACTTTAAGAATAGTTCTCTCAAATTCTCCGGGATTCCGAATTTACATCTTTCCGCACTGTGTAACGGGCACTCCACTAGAAGGTGTTTTACTGTTAGCGGGGTCTCGCAAGCATAACACTCCGGTTGGGGATCCCTTGTCATCAGATGTCCATGCGTAAGGCGACTATAACCAAGCCGCAGTCGTGTGATGATAACCTGAGAAAAACGATTGGTGGAACTATCAGACCATGGTTGAAATATTGGTTTTATCTCAAGTAATTTTGCCTGTTTTTTGTGCCATCTGCTATTCCATATGTTAACTATTTTGCTGTGGAAATATGATTTGAGATCTGTCGCTGGAGTTTTTGGATAGAACTCAATAGTTGTGTCCTCTAAGGCTTCTCGTGCATATTTATCCGCCAGATCGTTTCCCGTGATTCCAATATGAGATGGCACCCACAGGAAAGCAATGTTTCTGTGATTTAGGTTGTGCAATTCTTGTCTAATGAGTTTGGCCACAGGATGGGAAGAATAGATTTTTGAGATGATTTCTAGAGAACTTAGTGAGTCAGTAATTATTAAGAAGTTAGTTTCAGGACATTTTGTAACGTGACATATGGCTTTATATATTGCAAAGAGTTCTCCTGTTAAAATAGTATTAGTCTCCGCTAGTTTATATTTCTTTATTTCATCCTTTGTTACAAAGGCAGATGCTACACAACGTTCTGTTTTAGATCCATCTGTGAATAACTGTTTGAAGGAAGAAAATTGAGAAATTAAGGTTTGATATTTAGAATTAATTAGATGACGATTGCTTTCTTTCTTATTTTCTGATAATAGATCCAAATTTATGTGAGAGAAGATATTAGCCAAGGAGGGGAAGTTGGCATCTTGCTAGGTTATATTTCGGGACTTTTAGGTTTAATTCATTTATAATTCGTCTGCATCTTTCGGAAAAGGGAATGTGAGTTTTTGCGTGCTTGATATTTGACAGCGAATGGTTTGGTGATATTGTAAAGAGTACCGCTTCGATGCATATGAGAGCATTAATTCTTGTCTTCTTAAATCTAATGGTAGTTCACCGAGTTCGGCCTGAAGACTTAAGATAGGGGTTGTTCTAAATGCACCGCTTATTATTCTAAGAGCGTTATTTTAAATGGTGTCTAAAACTTTTAGAGTTGTTGTTGAAGCAGACGAGTAAGCGTGGCATCCATAATCGATCTTGGAGCGGATCAGATTTTTATATAATATGAGTACAGTTCTACCGTCCGCTCCCCAGTTCGTACCATAAAGACATTTCAAGAGGTTTAGTCTTTTTTGACATATAGCTGATATATATTTGATGTGGTCCTTCCAGGTTAGAGCTTGATTAAACTTAATACTAATATTTAATTGTATTTACATATTCAAGTGTCTGAACCCCCAAGTTTTAAAGTAGGTATTTCTTTTATCTGTTTTGGTCTCTTTAAGAATATGATGCAGCGAGTTCTGTATATTGTGTCCATTTAAGAATATTATAAGATCATCCGCGTACATATCGCTTAAATGGGTTTGTTCATTGTTTGATTATATCATTAATAGCTATAAGGAAAAGCGTTGGGCTGATTACCGAGCCTTGGGTGTACCATTTTTTTGATATCTCACATTAGATAGAAGACCGTTTACTTTTACCTTGAAATTTCTATTTAGGAGAAAATTTTTAATAAAAGCAAGTATATTTCCTTGATAGCCCCATGATTCCAGTGTTGAAATATCTTGTGATGCCAAGCCATATCAAATGCTTTGTGCAAATCAAAATAAATTGCAATACATTTTTGGTTGTTGTAGAATGCGTTATTAATATGTGATTCTATATCTACTAAATTGTCGGTAGTCGATCTTAAAGGACGAAATCCAGATTGTTTATTAATCAGTTGGTTATTTTCTTAAAGACACCACAATAAACTGTTTATTTATAATTTTTTCTAAAAACTTACACACTTTACACAAGTTAGAGACACTGGACGATAAGAATTGCTTTGTTTTGTGGCTTATTAGATTTTAAGATGGGAATAGTTATAGCGGTTTTCCATAAATTGGGAAATTCATGTTTGGTCCATATACGATTATATATTTTTAATAATATTTCTACTGTTTCGTCAGGTAGTGTTTCAAAAAAGAAGCTGGGATGTCATCGGGGCCAGGGGATGTGTTCTTTAAATGATCTACATCTCTCTTAGTTCTCTGATTGTGACAGTGCATTTATAGGTTCATTATTGTTTACTACGTTAATACGGATAGTTTCTTTTTGTTCTTTGTATGTTAAGAAATCTTTATCATAGTTAGAATTTATGGATGTTAACTTGAATGTTTCCTCTATTTTTTTTACGATTTGTGCATGGTTTGTTATTGACGATTTATTTTCTACTTTAGTGAATCGAGTGTTGCGATTATCACATC